GCGCGCGGGGACGCGTGTGCATCCGCGTGTGCGCGCCTGTATATGTGTGTGTGTGCACCTGTGTGTGTGTGTGCCTGTATGTATGTGTGTGTGTGCACCTGTGTGTGTGTGCCTGTATATGTGTGGGCACCTGTGTGTGTACGTGGATGCATATGCAACTCCATGTGTGTGTGTGTGCACATGCACCTGTGTGTGTGCACACCTGCATATCTGTTTGTGCATGCATATGCACCCATGTGTGTTTGTGCATAGGTGTGTGCAGCTGTGTGTGTGCACGTGCACCTACCTGTGCAAGTGCATTTACATGTACGTGTGCATGTGCATGTGTGCGTGTGCAGCTGTGTGTGCACCTGCACGTACATGTGCACATATGTGTGCATATGCACTTATGTTTGTGCACCTCTGCATATACCTGTGCACATGTACACATGGCTGTACATGTGTATTTGCCTCTGCACATACATATGCATACATGTGCCCAGGCATGCCTGTGTGTGCATGTGCACACACGTGTGTCCCTGGGAAGGGGTGATCGTGCCGGGGCGGTGCGTGAGCGGCCGGGCTCTGTCCGTGCCCTTGGGCTCCGCAGCGTCCGAGTGGGTGCAGGACAGGGCAGCGCTGGCGGCGAGGGAAGGGTGAGGACAGCCAGGGTCTGTCCCAGCGCTGCCCAGCTCTGTCACGGCATCTGGAGCTTCGTGCGTTACTAGCGATTATGGACTCGGCCCCTGGCTCCCTCCCTTTGCGCTTCGTTTTGCAGAGCAGAAAGTTGAAGCACAGAAGCTTGAACTGCTTTTTCTGCTTAAATGCTTAAAAATGCTTCGTGCTACTTTTGGTCAGTAAAGGGGAAGAAGGAGAGGACGAGGCAAGAATGTGAATGTTTACTGCGACGTAAGCGTAAATCCTAAATAATGGGTGCAGGAACTGAACATCTGAACAAACCTGCTGTTGTCAACTGCATGTGAATTCTGGTGTTCATTGATTTAGCAGTCATAAAAAGGTGATTAAAGAGTTTCCTATCATCTTCCCCATAGTCAAAACAATCCGCTGGAATGGCTCTTAATTGCTTTTATAACACATGGATGTTTTCAGAAGTAGAAGAGCAGGAGTCAAACAGAAAGTTCTCCTCAGAAGGAAGATTTCCTAAAGCATGTAAACATAAAAAATCTTTGCTTAAAAAGAGAAAAAAAAATAACCCCAGATCAAACATTCTTTGGGCTTTTTAGAAATGTTCTTTCTTTATTCTACCACTATTCTCTGCAGGTTTGTCTGATGTGGTTGCTTTGTGGGTTGAATCACCTGCTTATTAGTTTTGAGAAAGGGTGTCTTTGAAAATGATACCAGAAAGACAAAATGCCCCTGCCTCTTTTTATGGGTTTTTGTGCTTTAGGAACTGGAAAACCTATGATGATTTACTTGCAGTAGGGTTTTTGAATGCTGACTCTTTGTAAAGGATTTATTTCCTTTGCTGCTTGGTAATATAAATAAGCAACATGCCAAGGCGCAATTAAAATTCAAAACATTTTAGATTCTTGTATAGTCCAGACAGTCCATCTGTCTTAGAGTGAAAAGTGGTCCTGAATGAAAAAGAGTAGGCACAAATATAGAAAACAGACAAAAAGACATAGTCAAACTCAATCACCCTCTTTTTTTTTTTCTTTTTTTTCTTTTTTAAATGCTGTGTGGGTTTGTTGCTGCACAGCAAAAACCTTAGGTATGATTCTGAAGCAACTGCTTTTTGAGGCTTTGTTTATGTTGTTAACTTTCAAAAAGCCAGTTCACACATTCCCTTTCTTTCATATTTCATATTCAATGTAATCTGTGTGTATCAATTGGTTAAACGTGTTGTGCATATGCTTGCCAAATTGCATGGTTCAAATAGTGCCCCATGCTCCTGATTACTGTGGTCCAAAACATAATATATATTAACGCAAGGTAGTATAAATAGTGCTATAATTCAAACATTAGAAAATAAGCAATGTAATTCATGCACATGAAAAGCCTGCACTGATGATAGCAAGTTGTGTCTAGAGGTGTGGGCCCATATGCTGGATAAGATGTCTGGCAAATACTTTTTTTTTTTTTTTTTTTTTTTTTTTGTGTGTGTGGTTAGATGCTGTTTTGTAAAATTCCCATCTGTACTTTGATTTCCATTCAAATGATGTAATAATGGAAATGTTTTCTCAAGATAATGCTATAGAGAAGGTAGAATATATTTTCGGGTTATTCAAACCTATCTTCCAGTGTTTGAGTAAGAAGTTTGGCAAATAGTGTATAGTCATTATAGATTGCAACGCGTAGTACTTCAGCCTCAGGGATGAATGGAATCCTTTCTTACTGAAAATAAAAAGATTTCTTTAAGGAATGTAGCATTTCCCCAAGCTGGGGCTTCTCAGACTGCTTTCCTGTGAAAGCATCAACATTTCCATTCAATATTTGCAATTTCAGAAAATGCTGGGCACACTTATTACAATAAAAGTATTTTCTTTCCACTTGCTTTCAACTATATTTGGATGTATTTCTTGCCTTTTGTCACAGGCTGAATTAAAGGTCTCTCTTATTTATTCTCTTGGTGTTCAGGTATCTGAGAATTCATCAGTGTGGCAGTGGGACTGGTCAGCATTAGAGGTGTGGACAGTGGCCTTTACCTTGGAATGAATGAGAAGGGAGAGCTCTATGGATCCGTAAGTATTCCATACTTACTGCACTTCCTACATATTTAGGTTTGGATTCCCATGCTTGCACAGAGCAACCACTGCGGGCAGGTAGCTTAGGTAGTCTTTACATTCAAAACATGAGCATCTTTTCCTGTTGAGAAGTACACTCAGTTCTCAAAGCATGTGCTATTGACTTGGGCACTGAGGATTGGAGCGGAAATCTTTCTCTCTCTTAGATTAAGAACACTGAAAAGAAATATTCCTCTGAAATAGCTATTTTAAATGCCTATTTTTGTCTTAAATTAAAAGGCCTTTAAGGTGCATGCAGACCTACTACGGTCAGCATGCTGTAGCTGTAGTGAGGAGGGCCTTCCTAGAGGGAGCCATCCAACCGATATTTAAATCCAAAACTCAAAACCGTATATGTAGGGGTGCACTTTTCAAAGGAGTAAAGGATAAATGAGCCATCCAAACTCTACTTCGTGTCTACATACTCTTTTAAGATTTGATTTATTAACAGTTGAATAAACACTAAGGCAGCACAAAGCCCAAGATATTTTGCTTATGTTTATTATTTTAAGTGTGTTGTGGTATTTGGTCACTGGTTGCTGAAAATAGCTTGACTCCCTATTTTCTTCTCTCCTCCTTTCTGTAGGAGAAGCTAACTTCTGAATGCATCTTCAGGGAGCAGTTTGAGGAAAACTGGTACAACACTTACTCCTCCAATGTGTACAAACACGGAGATTCAGGGCGGCGATACTTCGTAGCACTTAACAAAGACGGTACCCCCAGAGATGGGGCAAGGTCCAAAAGACACCAGAAGTTCACGCATTTCCTGCCGAGACCTGTGGATCCTGAAAGAGTTCCAGAACTGTACAAAGATGTGCTTGGATACAGCTGAGGAGCAGCAGAAGTCCAAGGAAGACCCATCCTGGAGACGTTCGAGGTTACTGCTTTGTCTGTGGCAACACCAGCCATGAGGGAGAGTTTGCAGAGTTCTGCAGTCCTGGATTTGAAGAAGCTGCTTAGTGACAGCCCTGCCTCTAATTCCTGGTGTTCGGATTTTGGAGACAAATCCTTAGAGAGGATCAGCCTCACGCGGATGTGCCGAACTGTGTGGCAGCCAGGAGCCCGTGGGAAGCTGGAGTGTGACTTTTTTTAAATACCAAACTCCTGCCTGTTTGGTCTGGATTGCTTACTGTCTATACATTAGCAAAAAAACTACCTACAGTATCTGGATCAGAGAAAAACTGGAAGAAATAGCAAGAAATGAACTGTAAAATAGCAATAAACCTTGGGAACTGTATATGAAGTTGTAGTGGCTCCACTTCAGTGATGGACCTTAGATGTCAGTGTATCACAATCTGAGCTGGAACTTTCCTCCATAGGATGGACCTATTTATACATCTCCAGATAGCATATATTTATTTTATATATTTATTTATTGAAGAGTTTATTTTTTACTGGGATATGAAGAGAATACAAGCCCCCAACCCCAATGAGAAATCATTTACAGTGCCGATCTTCAGTAGTGTCTGAGTAGTGTCATGATGCAGAAATGACATTACATTGCAATGCCTCCAAAACCTGGACATTCAGATTTCATTGCTCATCAGTTATAGATTAGCTTATATTTTATGCACATACCATTGCCTCATGTCTCCTTGTTTTGGAATGAACGGTGGTTACTTTTGACCTATGAGAGTGCCTTACAGATCTGTACCAAATTCACATGCACATTTGAAAAGGGAATTAAAAATTATTTCACTTTATTGGGTTTACTGTCTTTTTTGAAAATGAAAAGTCGCTTAGCACACTATATGTAGCATTGCAAGCATACAGCAATTATGAAAAGTGTATTGCAGTTATCTTAGAGCAAGCCCTATTGGCTCTTAAAATCTTGACTCAGATGACAATGTGCTTGATGACATTTTACCAAATGGCTCCTGGTATCAACACCCGAATGACTAGCATTCTCTGTATCACTTGAAATTTTCATGTTGGAGTCCCATCACTACTTAAGGCATTTTAATCATTTTCCATGTCTACCGCAATGTTTAAGGTGGAACAGTAATGGAGTAAAATGTGATACTGCTGAATGAAGGGTTTGTTTCTCTGCTGAGTACAGAGGGAACCTAAGGAGATTGAGAAGAGAACAGCCTCAGGAGACTTCTTTTTCACCTCCGTTGCCTCAGATTATTAGGGAATAGTCTGAGCATCAATTTGAGCGAAGTCTGTCAGGAAAAGGATGAGCTGTGTCTCCAATGCCAGTTACAACTGAACACTAGATTACACCGTTACACTAATTCTGGACTGTCAGTTATGAAACACATTCCTCTACAAATTGACTTGCGGGGAAATATCCCGTCTCTCTGAGAATACTAAAAGTTTTTGATAGGCCCTGTGTGATTTAGAGCTCCACTGTCCAGGGGCTGGCTGCGAGGTGCTCGCTTGGAGGTGGTCTCTCTTCCTGAGGCCTGCGGCTGCACTGGGTCCACTTCAAAGTAACCTGCTTTGAGTTGCAGGTTTTTTTGTGGATGCATAGATGAATGGTTCAAATACTGCAGCTGTATCGCTCATATCAAACCAAAGTATTAATTAGAAACACTCTCCAGTATATAACATACTTGCTAGAATCATTACAGTACCAGAACTTCTTCCACTTCATAGAGAGAAATGAATGGGCATAAATTAGTATGGCCTGTGGAAAAGAAATAGAATCAATAGAAATTGATTGTAAGTACACGAAAAGATGTTCAGCATTTTATAACTAGCAATACTGAGGTTAAAAGGTATCATTATGACAGGCAGTGGAAGATCCATTGCACCCTAAGTATAGTTGGCTAAACAAATCCGCAAGTTAAAATTACCATGAGGTATTGCTTTTATGGTTAACACTGAGTTCCTTTAAAAAAAAGATCAATGACTAAACAGACCAGTTTTAAGTAGTTGATTTTTTTCTCTATGTTAAAAAAAAAATTTAGTCCGTATAAATTGTGTAACAAACCTGCGACTGCTGCTCTGGACATAACTCCCATGCATTTCTGGCAAACCTATTGAGTGTTTAGCTCGTACCAATAATAGAGTTATGTTTCTTTGGATTAGCAATTCACTGTTCACTCAGCTCTTCCCAAGTACGTTGAAGATTGAAAGGGCTGCAATCATTATTAGACTATATACTTTTTATCCTTATTGTGCTTCTTTATTTTGACAATTTTGACACAGTCCAAACCAGCAACTGAAGGTAGCTTTAAGCGGTGAATATTCTTCATCTAAAGTCTCAGAATCCAAGCATCTAGCCAGCATTGCGGTGAAGAAAAAATGTGATATATACTATCAATTGCTTGCCTTATTATCGTTTTAGAGAATATAGCAATAATCCTGGAACATACCGTAATGCCGCAGGTACAAAATCTTCAGAGCACTGAAAACGTATCAGTTCCATATTTGGTTTACCAGTCATTTTCCTTTGCATCAGAGGATATCCATATCAGCCTGAAAGTTGTGGATGCATGAATGTCGTGGAAAGGGTAATCTGAAGGCAGTGACGTTGTTCAACATTCAGAGGAAATCTCTGAATGCAACAGCATGAACAACTGGCAACTTCTTCAGACCTCCCAGCGCTGTGTTTTTTGCATGTAAACTGTATTGTTTACATTTTCAATAGGTTTAAGAGAAAACATCACATCTTTAAATAATTCCCTGTGCGTTTGGCCACCTTGTTTCTGCCTTCCCATTTTGTTGGAGGTAGGAGAACCATTCAAGGTAGTTATGGATACTTTTGCATAGCAGGTGTAACTCCACTTGGTGCTTCTCATTTGCTCTCTTAGAAAATCAAAAACTTTTTACCCTTTGATCTCAGAGCTATCTGAAAATCAGGTGCTTTGTGCCAGTTCTACATTCCTTTACATGCTTTGCTCTCTACCATTCTCTTTTCCAAGTTGTGTCATACATAATATTCTAGTCACACATAGGACTTTAGAAAAAATAAGAATCACTTTTGAGTGTATTTGAAGCAAAATTGTTGCCTTCATTATTAATTTTTATGTTCTTCTGCAGAGGGCAGAATAGCTATTAAAGTTTGTGTAGTATTGTATGTCCTGTAGCTGTGATATAGAAGACAGGATATAGGAGAGCCCAAGCACTTAGGAAAAGGCAGTGTTTTATCCTAGAGGAGCTGATAGAGTCAGAAAAAGCAGCTAGTCTAAAAGGCACACTGTCCTCTCACAAGTCTGAGCCATTTGTACTTGCGTTTTGGTGCAGTTTGGCGCAGTCTGTGTCTCTGTGTTTTCTGTCATGACCTTATCGGTGACAACTTTCACACCCAGATGCGCCCGCCAGCCTCTCTGACACTGTTTGAAGTTCAATTCACTGGTACAGCCACTCACTGCAGTAGCACTTCAGGCTGTTGCAAAATTTACTTGGTAAAGTGTGAGAATCATTTAAGAAATGCACTTGCATAATAGCTTTCCTTACCACTTCAAAAAATTTCTTAGTGATTTTCTTTTTTACACATATTTCACAGCCATCCAATCTCCGCTCAGTAATTCTGCAAGGCCTTATCTTAACATAGTTCTTAACCAGCAGCTATATCAGCTATGGGTGTGCCTTTTTTATTATTTTTAATTGATGTAATCAGACTAGTACCAGCCTACTGTGGTTCTATTTATACCTTTACAAACTTATACCATTATGCCTCATTCCTTTCCTGTATGGCAATGAACTAAATTAAGGTAGGGAATATTTGCACATCAGAAATGAATCTTCACTATTGCCTCAACATACTGGACAAAACCTGTGCTATAATCCTAAAAGCTCTGTGGAAAAATACTTAAGATTTTTTGTCTAGCTCCCTGCTGTATAGACATGCTATCAGAGAGGAGATCTGTTGGAAGTCTTCCTCCCTTCATTTGTTCCTTTTGCTTTTCATGTGAGCAAAGCTATTGACTTCACTGCTGTTATAACAAAAAACCTAAGTTTTTGTTATAAAGTTTTGCAGCCCAATTTCATATAGTTTTTTTTTGTAGTCAGAAATATATGAGCAGGTGGACAGAAATGTATAAGTAGTTTATCAGGTAGAAAATAATTAACCATGAAATTGTTACAAATAAGTTGTGCACAAATAAGAAAAAAAAAAGAGAAGAGGTCAAAGAATTACTTATATTGCCAGTTGGAGATGTATTAAATTTCAAAAAGAAATTGATTGGCAACTTGCCAAGACAACTATTTCATCTGCAACATGATCAGACACTACAACCGTTCTAGAGTTTTAGCAAAAAGAGAAAATATTAATTAAACTAGTGGTGAGCGAAGGTCTCTGTGTTTTGAAGGTGTCCAGAGTGCTACTGGTATTGCTACTATAGCAAATCTTCAGTAAGAGCAGTTCACAGGGAAAAGTGCAAGAGAGTTAGAAAGTCAGTCTTTTGAAAACGAGATTAAGAGAAAACTTTCTGTGATAAAGCCTTGCTTTATGTATTTTGAACATATTGTATAGGAAAATTGAATCGCTGTTTACTCACACTTAAAATATCACAAACTGCTATGTTCATGGATACCTCCATGTGCTGAATGTTACTTCTCTTATGAACAGAGCCCCAGTTACATGTCTTGTGTTCTTCCCAGATACCACCTCTTGGCCTATATGCCTACACTAGCATGTATTTGTGAAAGAGGCTTTGCAAATTAATCAGAGATGTTTCCTTTATTCTTGCAAATAATAATCCCAGTGGGTGATTCCTTCAGGGAACAACTTCATGTCTTTATTAGTCATGCAAGATCTTCCAGCAATTTTTAACAAAAGTGGCCCTAAGGTGCCCTCGTCACAGCTCTGGGCACATGGGCACAACTGTGGGGTTTCCAGATACTCTCAAGCAGATACACCTGACATTTCCTTTTTTTTTT